AATATGAAAAAATCTAGCTATAGAAATTAATAAAATACAAAGATAACTAATATATCATATACTCTACGTATGGAGGATTCAGAAGCTTCATTTATGACGAGAAGATTATCGAGAAATTCAAAATCAAATAGAGATATATATTTATATTAATAAATAGAAATATCGAAAATTTTCTTAATAATATGAATAGAATGTAAAATGATATTGATCGTGCCAAAAGTCTTTATTATAGTAGTTATAATAATAACAATGGTAAGGATAAGAATAAGGCAAGAATTAGATCAATATTTCTAACAAGAGCAAGTAATAGATATGACAATAATTATAATTGAAGTTAGGTAGCAATCATATCAATAATGAGATTTAGATCAATTCCCTATATTTAGATTTCTCGACAAGAAGAAAGGAGAATCTAATATTAAAAAAATATATCGACATATATCTAATATTATATTGAGAAATATCTCTAATATATTCTCTTCCTAATCTATTCCCCTCCTTATTCCATAATTATCCCTGCACTCCACGATAATCCTCATATCTTCTCATAATATATTCTCTAATATATATGATTCCGTCCACTACCTTAATTCTCTTTATTATCTGCACCCTAAATTCTATATTTCCCCCCTTTTTATAAACCTCCATCAATTATTCTACGGCCTTATTTTCAATTTCATATGAATTTCTCTTTATAATATATACCTTCGCCTCATTCCATAATATTCTCCCCGATCCATCCTCACCCGCCACTCCACGACCACGACAGACGATTCTCCCCGCGGTTTCACGACCTCCTCATTCCCCACGACGAATTTATCTACTCTCTACTTCTAAAGATTCCCTCCGACCCATTCTCGATCGCCCCACGATAAATATCTATCATATCGCACTACAAATATAATAAGTCTTCAAAGATAATTATCATATTGCTAGAATATATGCTATATAATAAAATAATATAAAAAAATAATATAAGCTAAATAATAAAATATAATTAATATATCATCTCTCTAATATAAAAAATTCAAGTTTGCAAGCATTCAATGAGCTTCCCAAATCTTAGAAGCTATTCCCTATTTTCGAGATTTTCGTAATCTATTATGACATTCACCGTGCGCAAGTCTAAGAATCTTTTATCTATCTAATCTAATATAGATAATTAGAGGCTATTTAAAAAAATATATATAAGTCTAAATATTAGACAATTTAACCTAATAAAATAAAGAAATAAGATCAAGAATATAAATTATCAATGATTTCGATTTATCGAAATCCTTATCTAAATACGATTAATAATTGGATTATAGAAATTATTCTTAGCAAAAATTCAGTCACCTATTTTATTATATTCCATAAATTTCAATACCTCCGTTAATATGGACTTGTAAATTCTAGGGATATTTTGCTGCCCAAGGTGGGAAGCGTTGAGCTCAGAGTTCCAGAGATCGAGCCTGTAAGGGAAAAAACGTGCATCAGAAGAACAAAAATACAAACAAGGTCGTGGAATGGGCCAACGAAGCCCTGCCTCTCGTAATCTGAGGGTCCTCCGATCACTGAGCATTTGGCGATTTGGATTGTCCTCGTCGCATTCGTTCCTAGGTTGTGGTGGATGATCCGTACGGTGGACCGCACAGAAGTTACAGTGTGTCTTAAGAATCTGACTCTCTGACGCACTGGCACCATTGGATCTCCGTGTCTGTATGAGTAAGTCCCACACGTCGTGTACGACCAAAACTCATTGGATTTTCTGTAATCTCCAACCTGAGATTCGAGCAGACACAGTTGTTTGCAGGTACAGACAGACCAAGCAGTGTAGCTGGCTCAGTCGTCGTGACTTAGAAGAAACAAGGTAACTCCGCAATTGCATCCAAGCACATATATAAACTTCAAGATCGTGCGCGTTCCACCATCTGTTGATGAGACACAATGTGTCGCTGCATTTACGCCTCGGACGAAGACGCGAAGTTCATCGACATTCTGGCAAGTACACTCAACCACTCAGTGTGTCACCCACCATCATGATGGAATTCGGCTTGGTTTGGACGAGATGCAACCTCAGCTCGCACAACAGCAAGTACGGCAGCTGGAAGGGCCTCAGCAAGCAGGCGTTAAGGCCGCGGCTTGCCCGCCGCGTCCCAAAAGCTGACCTTCGAATAAACCCGAGCAGCTGCGATGCATCTCAAGGGACATTGCTGCCAAGTCACGTTGCAGCGCGAGTCGTTGTCTACTGTGAAGGCGAACTCCAGGTCTTTGCGAGGCACCTGCAAATAGTTCTGCTTCAACCTTGCCTTCGTTACAGTTTCACGGGTGTCCTTGTACATCTGCAAGTCCGGATGGCATCCCATTCCTCTGCTTTCCCTCCTGTCACAGATGGAGCTGCACAGATTCCAACCCCGAATTGCGGACGTAAGCGCCGCGCCCATACTCACGGACTTCGATTGGGAAATCGGACGGCCACATGGGTCCCTGCAGAGCTTGCACGGCTCCGACACAAACCGGGGGACTGGCTTTGGGTCATAGGACCACCTCGGCGTTCACGGCCGAAACCCATTGTCGGAAAGGGTCATTGCCTTAAATCCAGGATTTGGAGAAAGACGCACGTCGACATCTGCAGTAAGGACGGCCGGCCCTATTTGATGCGACGGCGTTGCACGACTATTAAGGCAGTGTCTTCCTGGTTTTGTGTTTCTGCTTGCAGAAGGGCTGCCAGAATGTGAGAAGTCTGATGTTATTGTGCTTTTGAACACTGCCGACTACCTGACTAGGAAGGACTACAACTGCAGCGATGCAGCACTCTTGGCTTGTACTTTCTGCGCCGAACTGCTGAATGGATACTAAGAAAAAAATGAATATTGGGACAGACGATGTTTTCACGTACTCGTTGTCTGGAAATCAGAATGTTGAGCTAGACGTCGAGCAAAGCCCCTTCTTCATGTGCATAAGCCCAGTCTTCTGAACCAACATGATTATAAACAACGACCTTCGTCATCTTTGCCAACCCCTACGGAATATTGCAAAAGGGGCTGAAGATTGCAAGCAAACGGTTCGAGTGTGAATATAGTGAATGTGAATGCCATGTTGCGCCGTGCTTGCAACAAAAGCAGTTGCCACACCTTTTGGAACAGAGGAATGCAATCCCTGACACAAGCAAATTTCCTCGAGCATGCAAAGGCGTACGTGTATACACATACATGTACATATAGATATACATATATATATATATGTATATGTGTACACCGTACATGTTTATCATATCTGGGACACAATATATAGTACATAGTCAGTGATATGTTTATGTATTACATGCAACGTGTACCATGTAATGCATGCGACCTGGTATGTACTTGAAAACATATCTAACATAGTTCATAAAATCATAAGATATTATTTCTCACATTCATGAAGTGCACTCTGTTTCTTTTTCCTTTCCATGGACGCGTCCATAGTGCATTTGGTAACCTCGACACTCGACGCTCGACACAGCTGTCCACAGCTTAGGCTGGCCAGCTACAGCTGGTGCAGGGGTAGCATCCGCTAAACGAACCCCCCGCATACCACAACCAAGGCTGGACAGCTACAAGCTGCAAGCTGTGATCAGCTACTCACGGATCCCACTTATCGGGAACTTGAAGGTAAACTCACCTATGAACCTTAGAAAAAAGGGACTCCACGGCGTATACACCAGGGAGCTCTCATTACGAGTACACCGGCGCACTCGCATCACAGCAGGATTTTGTAAGGAGGGCAGTGCCCTGTATTAGGGTGGGTAGGGCGGGTCGAAAAGAAACTCCTGTCACTCAGGTATTTCTTGGAGAGTGCTCGCTATTTTGGCTTGGTAGGAAACGGCAGCGGTATCACATACCTGCAAGCTCAAGTGGCGCAACAACCTTTCGCAATCACAGCCAACATGCACACAAGAATGAATTCAGCTCACCAAGCCTGCCCGAAGCACTAAGCTGGACAATACATGTAATACGCAATATACTTATACTCAGCATCGCCGCGTTCCAGCATATCAGTGTCTGCAGATCTGCCACGTTGCCGTAGATCAAGCGGTAAAGGCTGGAGTTTCGAGGGAAGTGGTCCAGGACGTAGCCTCTGAATGATGCTGCAGAGTTAAGGCAAGTTAAAGTATCAGTTTAGGGTCGAGGGTTTAGGGCAGGGTATAGGGCAGCTGACTTCCCTGACACCATGTTGTTGCAACTGGTGACCGAACAAGCTTGGCGGCCTCCAAGTCTGTTGGTGCCGTCCAGATTGCAATTCGCCTTGCGCAATTCCACAAATCGTACAGCACCTACGCACCCCTGCGATCACAAATCTCGAAACGTAAGCTTTCAAGTGCGCGCGATTTGTGCAACGTCCGGCCTCGATGTCTTCAGACCGCCATAATCTGTCGGTCTCTTCCTGTCGGCAAAGGTCAGCTGAACGGAGACATCCAGGCACAACGGCGCAATCACTGCCACGATTGGGCTCTCGTCCCAATGTTCTTTGGCGTGTTCAATACTGGAAGGCCGATCTCTCAACCAGTGCGGCATCTCAAACTCTCAACCCGAACTCCCCAGCTCCAGTAACACACCTTCACCCCTTGAGCAAGCAACCTTCAATAACTCACAAGTGAACTACCGAGGGCTGACTCGCACATCGCCAAGTCCGAAACCAACCCCTCGCCTTGATGGCCGCGAAGGTCTCCGGATCGAAGAAGTCTTCCGCGTAGATGATATGATCATTCGCCTAGCGAGAACATGAGGATGCCCATCGATGTGTCTTGACCCGGTATAGAAACGTGTACATAAGCCTACCTCTATACCTGTGGTCCGAATTGTACGTACATACACGCGGGTCTGAGGGAGTGGTGCCGAACATGCGGTATGCATGCAGGCATGCATACACAAATACATGCATGCATACACCTCTCCATAATCATGCTGCGAAAGACACGATTCCAAGCCACTCCTCTGTCTATGGTTGGGTGCACGTATAGCAAGAGTGACAATACAGGGAAAGAGCGAAGAAGAAGAAGAGGAAGAGCACACGGACAAGGGCAAAACTTCCAGACTCCAGCTCAGCTTTGGCCAGCCTTGAAGATCTTCGCCTGATCCGCAAGGCCTTGTGGTTACCGGATTTGCGAGTCTGGGGCCGACTGCTCAAACAGTGTGCGCTGCACCTTTGAGCACGGCTTCGGACACGCTCGGAGTGAAGCTGGCATCGGCATCCTGATAAGAAAAGCTGTATCTTTGCAAAGCACCCGACGGCTCCTTAGCCTGCAACGCTGAAGAATGTCCTTGTAGGCACCGGTGGAAGGAGACACCTTGTCTGAGACGGGCGGCAACAGTTGAGCAAACTTTGGCTCAGTGTGAAACCGGGCCTCTGCCTTTTGCAAGACTAGCCTGCCGTTGTGCAACGCTGCCTGCAGAGGAGAAAGGAGCTTGTTCACATCTTACAAGTATCTGCAGAACACTATGGGAATCTGCCTCCAGTGGAGACGAAACACTCCATGAATCAGAAGGGACTTCCTCGTGTCCTGCCTGCAGCTCAACGGCTGAGACATGCACAAATTCAGAATCTCAGCCTGTGCCTGCGAATGTGACGACGAAAACGCGGCTGCTTTGAGCACGTGCATGTCGAATTGTGCCTGAATCAGGTCCACACTCACCCTCTAACTGCTTGATGTTTTGGGGTTCCTAAACCCTAAATCCTCAACCGTAGGGGGGCCTCTGCGGGCTGCAGCACGCCGCCGCGCCAAGTTGCAGAGAGACCTCTTCCCAGGCGCTTGCAACACGCAAAAACCCAGAGCTACGAGCCCAGGATGTCCCGGATGTCTGTCCTCGCTGCCAGGCCCAATGAAGTTGTGCTACTTGGACAGATTGCTCCTTGCAGACAATGCAAAGCTAAAACCCAAGGATGTGACTAGTGACAAGACTTCAGAAAGCTGCTACTGAGTCTGCGTCTCGTGGCCAGCTCGACTAAGCAAAGCTCTGCCAAGTGAACGCTCTGAGGTCTACGTGGAACATGTCCCGGCCTTCTTCAGACCTGCAGCTCCGAAGTACTTCGCAGCAAAGCCACTTGTCACCTGGATAGCAACCGAAACGGCGAGGAAGAGACAATATCTACATATGTATATATATGTATATAATGCTCCGGCACAAGATCCACATCACCACATCACAACAAGATGAAGACAGAACTAAAAAGCAGTGGTCGCACTGACAGCCCTCGAGACTCCCAACAGCTCCCTGGAGCACCTCCTTGCGAGGGAAAGACACACAAGGAATGCCCGCTTGAAGAGCTGCTTCAACCGCGTCCTCCGCAGTGACTCTCAAACGTGCGGAACAAGTGAAGCAGCCGAAGCTGAACACTCTCACTCTGGCATTCGGGAAGGATCCTGATGCACTGGCCGCAGCAAATCATCTGTGGCGAGCCATGCAACTGGAGCAGGATTTCGCACCAGCAGTTTCTGAACAACCGAGGCTTGGTGAACCTCGGGGTGGAGCAGGCGCCGTCAGTCAGACTGCAACAAAATAGGCTAGAAGCTGCCAGAGCCACAGCCTCGGCCCGAATGCCATAGCTCCATGCCCGCTTCTCCAGCATCTTCTGCGTGCCAGTCCAGTACTGCTTCCTGCAGTCAGCTGTCAGGTTGCCCTTTGCAGGCCAAAAAACCAGGACGTGACATGCGGGAGCACCGAAGCACCGATTCTGCCCCAGGGCCCCGTCTTGAAGGCAGCATAGGGCAGCCAAATCAAGTCGATTGAGATGCCGGTGGCCTCGCCGAAAGTCAGACAGACTCAACTGGGAGTGCCTTCGCGGTGATGAGGCGCCTTAATGAGACTGGATATGTAGGAGTCCATGAGCTGAGCCACGCTTCCAGGCTTGGAAGCCTGCGGAGGCCCGTCATAAACTCGCTCTCCCCCTCTTCACATCTTCTGACACTGGACACCTCCCTTGGATCCAGGGCATCGAAGAGCTCCGGAGGCAGAGATGCCGAGACGAAGAGCTTCGCTTTCAGAGGGGCCAGAAGGGAACCCAGGCGCTGCAAAGAAGCCTCAAAGAGGGCTCTTAAGTCGAAAAGGCAAATCAGTGACACGAGGACGTGGGAAGAGGAATGCACCTCGTTCATGGTGAGCATGACCACATGGACGATGCCGTCGCTCTTTGGGAACTCCTGCAATGGCGGTTTTTGAGAGCGCGAGTACCATCACAGAGACGGGCCCCGCGCCTTCTTGCTGAGAGCAGCAAGCGCCTGCACTTCGGCTTCCAGGCCGCAGGGTTCGCCTTCTCAAGTCGAAATCTCGCTTTTGACGGCGGAGCTTTGGCAGACCGAAGGGAGCCAAAGGGGACGCTCTTTTTGCCACAGATCTTCGACACCTCGGTTGCCGGTTGCCGGCGCTGAGGCTTGCAGATCGCGCGAGCCGGCGGAGCTTGTGTTTGCACAAGGCAACCCGGAAATCTGGCGCTGAGAGGCCCCAACTTCAGAAGAACTACAGTAACTACAGCAGGCCGCCCCTGAGCGCGAGGTAAGAGAAGGACTAGCTTCTAGCTTGAATGCAAAGGGCCAAGGGCGAGGCCTGCAGTTGGAATCTGACAGCCTGGGAAAATCCCTTCCACAAGAGACGTCAAGCTGCCATCGACTTCCAAATCTACTCAAGTCCTGAGCAGAAATCCAAGTCAGCGTCCGTGGCACAGGTATGGCACAGGATAATGGAGCAGTGGCTACACTGCCAACCTTGCCTGACAGGGGAGTCTATCCACACCCCGCTGGGACACCACTGCAAGAAGACGCCCTCCGAAAAAAACGAACAGCTGGTGCTGTACTTCTTCACTGTTACTGGTACCTCTTCTGTAGCAGACCTGTATCATCCCCTGGGCTGTCGAGCCACAACCATCATCTCCGAAGTCACTCCTTGGAACCTTGAGCAGTGAACCCTTTGTGTGACATGCTCGCATAGATATAGAACCTGAGGCAAGCAACCGTTTATGCTCGGCGAACTCAATGGATCGCTATCGGGGTTCAAGGATCTAAACACAGTCGGCCGCACTGGGGACTGATAGGAGGATCTGAACTCGGCATGTGGGATTCTTGCGGCCCCACTGGGTGCGTAGGCTTTGCAGGTTTGGGCCTTGCGGGTTGGCCTGGCAATCGAGATTTTGGGCTTTGAAGGTAGCCACTGCTACAGCTCCGAAAGCCTTCAATACGCCTCCTTCGGAGCACAAGACCCTCCCCCCCGGTCTCAAGGACACCCGAAGAGCATTCCAAGAGCATCCCCACAAAGCATAAGGCTCCAAAAAGGCATTCCCACAAGGACGAACCACAACCCGGAGGGCGTGCTCTCTGCTGGGATCGGCCTCCAAACTCCCCAGAGGAAGCCGCCACAGTGCTGGCACCATTTGGGCTCCGTCCAGGAGCCTTCCTGCAAGCGATGTTGCATCATTGGCTTGCCGTCGGATTGGATGTTGGCAGGACCTGAGTGGGAGCTTACGCGAGCCGACCAAAAACAAAAACAACGCACACCTGCAGCACTGACAGCACTTTGACCCCGGACTTGCATGAGTCTTGCCCAACTGCCCAACTCAACACTGCTTTCTTATGGCGGCCAAGTCGGCTGTTGCTCAGAGCCGCCACGGCATTTGGGGTCAGTACCTGTGTGTTCCTTCGAGTCGCTGCAGTCTTGGGACTGGCACCCTGAACGTCGTGCGGCTGGAACTCCCTCAAGGGCTTCCTTGGAGGTGGCGGAAATGAACTCAAGGCACTGCAACACTGAGACCTGCTAAGTGGACTTAACCGCCGACTACACCTTCAAATCTCATGCATGGTTTCTGCAGAGGGTCTTGCTAGTCCTGTAGGCCAGGAAAGCTCTGACTATTCTGGCGATGCATGACTGCTCAACCAGCAGAAAGCCACAGCCCGCAGTCAGCAGCAAGCGGATCAACAGGCCCTGCCACTCTCTCAAATAAATAAGCAGCGCAGTGAGGAGCCAGAGGCCCCCACAAACCGGAAGCCTGTAAAGGAGCACCAAGGCCTTGAGGGCTTCAAAGCTCCGCGCCATCACGACGACTTGATCCAAATTTGTCTGAACCGTCGAAAAATCACTGTACTGTTCCGGGGGAAGACTCGTTTCTGCAGCCGCAAAAACCTTCTGGAGGGCTGGATCGATGGTCTCTTCCTCGGCTTTCTTCGGCTCCTTTTCAGTTGTGGCCAAGTCCTCATCCGAGTTCTCTTGCTCCTCGCCTGTGGGAGCAGGCACCTCGGCCGGCCTACCGGCAGCATACAGCATCGCTGACGACGACAAGCTGAGCAGCGGGAGGATGAATTCTGGTCTCCAGACAAGAAGGATCACGGTGCACCATAAGAGGCTGCTGCAACGCTCGGCCTGCTCTGCCAACGGACTGCAGACGGAGCTGACGTCCTGGATCAGGTGAGAGATGGTCGACACGTCCCCAAAAAGCTTCGCAAATCTCAGCGGGTGCTGGGGCTCTTCGAAGGCCGGAGGCCCCAAGCAATGGGCGAACAGCTCATGCTGAAGCTGGGCAACGTGGAGCGTCAGTTGGAGTCGAATGCGCCCGACGGTTTGTGGGCGGATGCCCTGCTCCAGATTGGCGGCCCGGGATTTGTAGTTCAGTAGACGATGCTTGTGGTCATTTGGGTCCCATAGGTTGAACCAGCCGCAGACTTTCGTGTTCAGGGGAAGTCGCTCCATGGATATGTCCACGTATCCCAGCAAGTCGTCACTCAGACCCATGAAGGCTCCTGTTGGGTTAGAGCCATGCTTGTGGCTTTTCCTTTAGCTCCATGTTAGGGCTGTCTTTAGGGTTCAGGGATCAGGGCGTAGGCCTGCCAAGCCGATCTTTGAGGCTTCTCCAAAATCTTCGTCATGCACATAGACAGACAGGACACTGCCTGGGCGAAAGATTCGAATGTGAAACTCCTCCTCCCACTTGGGCGCCAGAGTCTGCGTCCGGGTCTTCGTGCGAACTTCCGGCAGATCGTGGTCGTTCAGCTGTGCTTTGACGTAGGGATCAGAGAGGCCCGTAAAGTCGGCGGCCGGGAGGCCAAAAGCCCTATCGATCCGCAAATGCAAAACGGCATAGGGTGCGACACCGCTGTTTTCGTCGCCTTGGTTTGGGAAAGGAAGCAAGCCAACAACAAAAGCAAAACTACTGTGAAGCTCAGAGTCAAGATGAAAGCTTCTGCCTGCTTATACTTACTGGCCGCAGGCCGCAGCCGTGCGACGGATCAACACAGGCAAAGCCTGTCGCGCCCGTCCCCCCAAGGCCACTCCATCCCTGGACCCTGACCATCCACACGACTCATCCGACATTAGGGTACCTTATTTTGGAGTCCTTATAATAGGGATCCTACTATTTAGGCTACCATATTAGGGTCTCCTATTTTCGAACTCCCGGAGCCCTAGCCAAGGCCAAGCTGCCCGCGACGCGCGGCGCTGACAAGCAGAGCCAAGGAGAGAATGGTCTCGCCACAAAACCGCCGCTGTCCAGCTTGAGAGCTTCGCCAGCCATAATGCGGTGTGTGCGTGTGTGCGCACTTAGATGACGACGAGTAATTGGTAGCTGTGGAGTGGTCGCGCTGCTGATCCTTACCATTTTCACACTCCTCTGCCTGATCATCGGCTTCATTACCACGCTTAACCCTCGTATGTTCAGCAACTTGTTGCTGAAATGATGCATGCTACAACGCTCTGTGCCCATGCTTGCCGCTGACAGCAAGACAACCTGCAAGAAGAGACCGGTGCAGGTGAATCTCCAGGCTTCAGCAGAAAGTCAATGCGTGAGATTTCTCGCAAGGATCCACCTTTGGAGCAGTAGCCGTCATCGACGGCAAGGCCAACTTCAGGGAGCCGCCCCTCGCACAGCCCTACGGAAATCCCAAAAAGCACTGCAGCAGCTAGGCTTTAGGTTTACCGCTCTTTCAGGTCTCTGGTACGACTGCATGAAAGTTCAATCGGCGATGTGCCGGCTCCATGCCTGAAGAGGTGATCTGCGAGTGTCCTGACCGACCTCCGGAGAGGTGACAGGGATGTCGGGAGTCAAAGAGTTGAGCGGCTTTGGGGTTGAGGGTTTGGCATCAAGAGTACATGATCAAATCAGCATTCAGACGAGGACGCCTGCCTGACGCTGACCACTGTTCTCATGGCATGTTTCCCGCTACTGCTGATTACTGCTGCTGCTGCTGCTGCTGCTGCTGCTGCTGCTGCTGCTGCTGCTGCTGCTGTTGCTGCTGCTCCTGCTGCTGCGATTACTACTACTACTACTACTACTACTACTACTACTACTGCTACTACTACTACTACTACTACTACTACTACTGCTACTACTACTGCTCCTGCTACTACTCCTGCTACTACTACTACTACTACTACTACTACTACTACTACTACTGCTACTGTAATGCTACTGTTGTTATTGTTTCTTGTGGTTATTGTTCTCGTTCTTGTTCTTACTACTGTAATTGTTATTGT